AGATTCGCCTAATGAAATGGGCGTGCTGAGATTGGCAGGAGGGGTACGTGTTTGCCAGAGGAATAAGTACACCGAGAGATTCTTCTTCTGTAATGTAACATTTATGGTATAAATGTAACAAAATTAAATTTGGCAGCTGAGCTAAGCAAGCCCATTATTTGCGTTCTAAGTAAGCTTAATCAGGCTAAATTCACTTTTCCTAAATATATGTCTCCTGCGGTTTCTTACACTGCCAGCAGCTTTATAATTCACATGCATACACTTCGCTAGTCTCCATTCAAGATGTACGCACAGCTTGACTACGGATTCAATAACCTACTGCCGTTCTCAGCTTATCTGCAAACAGATTTCCCAGTTGCGAGTGATTTATGGCAGGCACATTTGAATTACTTCGCCTACTTCTCGGCGCGCAGATCTGAGTCTTTGGGTAATTGTGCCTCCGGGCCAGATCATATATCATCGTGTAGTGGTCTTGCATATGCCAGCAGCAGTTTAAACAACTAGGCCTTGGCCTGATTTTGTCATTGACATATACATATAGGCCACGCCCCGTGGCCACTGAGTTTATCCACGGAATGGATCAAGGAGCTGGCTGCCACTTGAGTGTCCCGCACACACATTCAAATCTATCATACTTGGGATAACATCAAGTCCGCAGGCGATACATTTTCGATGTTATTCTGTTTGAAGAGGCAATAGTCGAGCTGGCGCTAAAGCTAAATCAAATAGAAGAGTATTTTACTAAAAATCGCACTCATATGTTTTCCATTAATCGTACGTACTGTTGGATGGCCAAGATGATAGAGCCGTCTTCGTCAAGTGCACTAAAACTTTTCCATTTTAAAACAAAATAACTGGAATGTGTTTAATAAAAACAAGGCAAAAAATCACAAGCTGCATTTCAGCATGTGCATGTGCAACTTGAATAATTAAAATAAACGTTTTCAAAGACAACAAACCACTGGGAAAGCACTCGATTAAAAGACATCATCAATAAATTGCTTTTGCATTACAAACAATTCCAATTTCCCCATCTCCTATTAATACGCACACAGAAATGAATTGAATACACACTGGGTGCATGTGTTTGTATGTTAAATGCGGAATTTGTATATATCCGCATATATGGCATTATGGGTTAAAAGCTCGGGGCCTGTGGAGTTTAATGGTTTACACATATTGGTACGAAAGTGCTTTGGAGAGCTCTTTACGGCTCGCCGGCGCTCGACTTTTTATGGGTCTGGGCAATTGTGTGCTGGCCAAAAGGCGTTGACGACCCCTCTGGACCCGGCCAGTTGGGTAATTCCTTTTGTTTTTGACAACTTTGAGGCTTCAGAGTTCGTTGGACACTGTGAACGCACACATGCCCTAGCTGGAAACGCCTCTCAAAATAATTTAATCTGTAATTTCCAACAAATTAGCTTGCAAGCTAACTGCTGGTTACTCTGGAAATTTTGAGCTTTTTAATGCCATTGACTTGAAAGACAGTGTAAGGTTATGATATTGCAGATAGAATAATATTTATATTTTAAAATGTATTACTTTTTGATGTGAAAATACGATATTTCACCATGAACATGTTATAGTTTAGGACCTACCCTTTGCGGCACTCTCTCGCCCGGAATCGTAAAAAAAGTGTTTACATTTCATTCATAAAATATCAATTACGGACATGTGTGACAGCTAAGCGAGTGTGTTCGGGTGTATGGGTTTGGTAAGTCAAATCGATATCATACGAATACGTGAGGACATCAGAGTTCATTGCTGGAGCTTCGTCCTCGACTGGGTGACATTTAGGGCCAATATGGTGCACAACACGCTCCCTGATGGAAATTTAACGAGTTGCGCGACAACAGCTCTTGTAATGCATACCATCACAGCATAATCGGCTGCCATTCCTTATGAGCATAAACAGCTCGTTGGAAAGTCGAGCCCAAGCAATTGATTAAACAAATTTAATTAGGTTTAAGAAATCTAGCAAGCCACTACTTGAGCCCCATATATATGCCATTAGATGTGCGCCACTTTCAGCAAAATTGCCCTGAACCTGTGCGAATTGCGTTGCCCTAATAGCATCTCTTCAGTTTCAGCTTAATTTAATGCAATATCCTTAAGCGAATAGAAAACCAAAATCAAGACCACGCCCATTCGCTTTAGTCCTGCGGCTTCTCCATTTAAGTAAATGCAGCCCACAGCATTCGCATAACCAAGTAGCTCGGATGGCTAGCCCACCCACCACCACCCCCTGTGCCACCCACTTGCCACCCTGTTTAACATCCGATGGCCACACCTGCTGTCTGCAGTTTGCAGTTTGCTGGGTGCACTTTGCTGCCTACTTTGGGGCGCCACTCAATTATTTATGTGCCCCTGCAGTGCTGCCTTCCCATATGGGGGCGAACTTTTTCGCCATCTGTACACACACACACACACACACACACACGCACGCACACCAACACCACGAGGGCAACATGGAATGTCTTTAATGTTAATGACTCGAGTGCTGCAGAACTTTTGCAAGCGCTTAAGGCGGCTTTGCGGCAAGACGACGATGCCGGAAACTTTCCCATTGTTCGGCTGGGAAATCTCAAATCTCTGGTGACAAGTTTCCGCTGCACACAACTTTTTATAATAGCATGCAGGCACTCATTAAAAACGCATTAGCTGCGCAATGTAAATCATTATTGTGCCATAAGTAGCAGCCGTAGTACCTCTCTACCTCTCCTCAGTATCAACTGGCAGCTATGTCATCCCATAATTGGATGCATGTAACATATATGGCATCGAATATATATGTTCAGCAATGTCAGGGGCCAACGTATCCGTTATCCTGCCGCATGATCCGCAGGTCGAAGGACGCAGACAGACCACAGATGGGCCTTGTCCAGGGTATAATTTAAATGACACATCAGTAAAGCTATTTAAATGAATGCTATATAGGAAACCTGATCTAAGTATGATTTGCTTCCAAAAACCTAGAGGTCCTCCAAGGCCGTTGTGCAAAAATATCCGCTTGAAACAGATTGGCCAGAGTAAGTTGAGCAAATTCCGGCTTTAAAAGAAGTCTGCTTTCTCCGTGCCACTGAGAAAATTCCTAGAAATTCCATGGCGCGCATTTACAATGCATCAAGAGAAATGGCCGTCGAAACCAGCAATTTTTCACAATCTCTTTTTTGCATATCTGCTTAACATGTTAATAACCCCACCTGGGGGGTAATGGCATCCGCATCCGCATCCGCATCCGCATCCCAAGGCAGACCACCACGCCATTCAGATGGTGGCAATAAATATTTTATAAAGGCCAGACGACGTCAACAAGAAGACGATGGGACATGGCACATCCTCCACAGGTAGCGACCGTCGTAAAAAAGGCAACTTTGTAGAAAAGATTGCGCCGATGTGCTGAAAATTCCTTCCTTCCGTCTTGTCAACAACAGCTGAATAGGCCACACAATTGGCTGGCAGATGGCTAAGTGTCTGGCAAGGAACCGACAAAGTGGAGATGTCCTTTTGACCCAAACACCAGGAGCTCTTTTCTCTTCCTTGCCGCACCAAACCCACACGGGCCTTTGGGATTTTCCAGTTTTTTATTCATTAGCATTTGGAGGGGTCGGGAAATCCCCACATTAATATTAAATTCAGCTCGGCTCTCCAAACGTTTTAAGCTAATTTGTTAGAGTGCGAAAAGTTTAACAAATTTAAATAGTAAGCCCCGGCAAATTAGTTTTAATACGGCCAGCAAACAAATCTGGCCCAACGGCCTAAAGACCATTTCCGTTGTTGGCCCAATTTAACATGCATTCTATTTGTTGTTAGCCATTAGTTCTCGGTGTTGAGCCGGGCTTTAGGAATTTGTTTAAACATATTTTGGGCATTTAATGAAATTTATGGCCCCATGTAAATGAAAATCTGTGCTAAAATGTTTTTAATTGCTTTCCGCTTGGAATAAATCGATAGAAAAGTGATTTAATTTATGTGCGTTTAAGCCAATTTAAACTAATTTAGGCTCATTAGATTTGTCTATTTAAAAAAGAGCAAAATTTGCAAATTGTGTAAATATATTCAAGCTCCCAAAGCCTATTCAAACACAACAAAATAAGTAATTATTTTAAGAAATGACTACTAAACAATGGCATTGTTGACATCAAATGTATAAAACCAAATGGTGTAATTGGTTGAAATTTAATAATAACCGCAAACAGGAGCAACGACACCCCGGCGACCCGTAAAAAATTAGCTATTGCCGCTTAGAGTCGCAAACACGGAACCCCATTAACCATAACGGTTGGGCAATAAAAATAACAAGCCGCATCAAATTTTAAAGTAACGTTCAGCCAGGGAAAAAACAAACCAATATAATTGCGCTGCGGGCAGCGGTTGTCTAAGGCGTTGGCCTTTTATGGTCCACAACTTTTATTGTTTGTACATCTGAGGGAAAGTGGGCAGGACAATTTCCTTGGGTCAAGAAGTTGTCGCCTGGGAAATTTGATCACACAGTAACCGCCGTATAATATTAATATTAGTCATGTATTAGCATGCCTTAATTAGTATTATGTTGACTTCATTTGCATTAGCTTAGAGTTTATCCAGTTTTCTTAAGTACATCAAGTTATGATGATGCCATCTACTGTCTACTATAGCATTATACTATCGAAGAAAAGTTGGAAGTAAAATACAATTATATAGTAAAGTTCACATGGTGCAATCAATTATAGAAAGCTCAATAGCTTAAGTATTATAATACCAGGTTAATCCTAAAGCCAACAAATTAAAGTAAAACGATTTTGATGTCAGATGTTGCTGTAGAAAATGATATTATAAGCCAAATACGAGTTGTGTAACTCTATAAAAAATGTTATATTTTATTCCAAATGACATCCGATAAGCAAGGAGCACACCAACACTCCTCTAGCTTAGAAGGTTGTCCTGGGATACGAAACAAACTGGAACCCTTAAACAATTATCTTAGCAACCCCAGAACTTGTTGACTACCAATCGAGAATCGTATAATCTATTTGCGGAAGCCAACGTTTTACAAGCAAACAGGACCGAAATGAATATAATATCAACAGTTTGGTCAGTTTTTAGCGAATATTCCCTTAAAATATATTGACAGTATGCAGTCCACAGTTGGTGCAACGTTTGGGACAAGAACACCATCGTGAATGTGGGTCCCGATGTCCTGTGCCTGCGGAATGGCAATGCGATCAAGTTCGTCCACATGCAAACGAAGGCAGTTAGTTTCTTCAAGGCGGAGACGGTGTCCACGGGTCTAAGTATCAGTTGTTTTACTGGCCACAACCGCTTTCCGCTTTTCGCCTTTGCCGAGGTGGTGCTGATGCCAAATATCTTTATATACCGCTATCCGGATATGGCCAAGTTTAGCTTGATTCCCCGTAAGTATACAAGATTAGGTTTTTCCTCAATTAAACTGTTTTTCCCCCTAGCTCACTTGGTAAGCTACACTGACATCCGGTTTTCGGAGCTCGATCTACTGATCGCTGTGGGCGGCTATCCCGACTATTGCCTCTGCGTTTTCAACTACCGTACGGGAACCTTGGTCCTGGAGCAATCCACCAATGTGCCCACAGTGGAGCGCGGTATTGTGATTAGCTTCACCAGCCTGCCCAGCATCATTCAGTTGAACAAACAGGACATGACCATCATGTGCTACGACATCTGCACCGTTGAAAAGGAGTCCTTCCTGTACAAGGTGGCCGAAGTGGAGCTGGGCAAAAATTTCCTAAAGTCCTGCTACCGATGCCTGACCTTCGGCGAGGACAACACCCTGTACGCCACCAACGATTTTGGCCATCTGCTCTCAGTGGATGTGGCCTGTTTCGCCCTAAAGCCACAATGGCAGCCCGCATCCGCTGCCGCTTCCGATATCGATGTGGAAAGAATGCCCCGCCCCCACGGCCTCACCTATCACAAGTCCGGATTCCTCATCTGGAACAGCTCTACCGCATACTTTGTGAAGAAAAAGGCGGGTGTCTTCAAGGTACGTTTGCTACGAGTCCCTAAATATATGCACTTTTCATATTGCAATCACAGGTTTTACTGTCCAAAAACTGAATCATGATAGATGATAGATGTACTATGTATATATGTTTATTTAAACAATAGTGTTTCTGTCACGACTTTAGTAATCACTTACCACCATTTACCATTTCCAATCCAGCTCGAGTGGGAGTTTGAGGGCCGTTTGAACGAGGTGGTCCGCTTCCTGAGCAACAACAATGGCGAAATCTACGCCGAGCGCCGCCCTGGACACATTGACCAGGTGGTGGTGGACGGCAATGGATCGGTATCGATAGAGAACGTGGTGCCCACCGGAAAACCGGTGATTACCTTTCGAGTGCTGCAGGGACTTAAGGACGAGTGCGTTTGCGTGTTGCACGATGAAGGAGTGGCCATGATGGACCTGGCTAAAGGTCACACCCTGTGCGAAGTGCCCGTTCCGGGCGCAACGGCCATGTGCAACCATCGCAGCTTGGCCCTGGTGGTCGTGGGAACGTTCGATGCCAGCATCGTTTTGATCCACTTCGAGCGGGCCGGCTTGCCCCATGTTCTGTGCGATCTCAAAATGGAGACGGCAGCGGTGGTGGGACTGGAGTTCAACGACAGCTGGGTGGTGTTCCAGGATCAGATGAAGGTGCTGCACGTGGTTCAGGTGGACAACAGGCCGCACAAATTGACGCATTACTTCGAGATGAACACGCCGGAACTGGCGCAGGTCTTTATCCACACCTTTCTGCTGGCCGACGGACCGCGCCTGATGGTCTTCATCAATCGGGATCATAGCATGAAGCGTCCTGGCTTCGCCACCGAGCTCTGGCTCTACAATTGGGGCAAGGATAAGCGTCTTCACAGGCGCGAATATATCCTGCCGAGGCAATACGGCTTCTTCTGCGTCCAGGCGCCGGTTGGAAGATGGTCACTGATCGAGATCGTGGCCACTGAGTACAACAACTTGAACTTTGACCAGTTCGCGTTGAACGAGAAGGATGAGCTGCAGTGGATCGCCTCCACTAAGTCGGGGCACTTTAGCTATATTCTCGGTGCTGGCATGACCAAACACTTGGTCACCTGGAGTCTGGGGGGCATCCTTGTGCACTTCAAGCAGCACAAGCGGGCCAAGAAGCCGTTTATGATCTGCCGATTTCTCAACTTGGGCATGCAAACGGAGTACATACTGCGGGTGAAGGAGTGCTTTAATTCCAAGTAACTATGTGATATAACTTCAATTTAATTACGTTTCACCTATGTGATTGATGTGCAGGTACCTCATTATCCTTTTGGCCAACAAGAGCATGCGAGTAATGCGTCTGCCCTCTCTGGCGGACTTTGTTCGTGAAAACTTGGCCTTAAAATTGCCCACGGAGGAGGGCATTCCCTGTTTCATAGAGCAGACAACGCACAAGGTGGATATGTTTGTGCCGCTGAGTCAGCGGCAGGAGGTCAAGGAGGAGTACTCCAGGGCGGATTTAATAAAGCGCGAGAAGCTGTTAGCCAGCATCAAGGACTTTGCCGCCAAGGTGACGGCGCTAATCGACTACGATATCTCTAAGACGGGCAAAACCCAAGGCATCTTCAAGAAGTTCTGCTTCCACTACCGCTGGCTGGACGCTCTCACGGCGGAGGCCCAAAAACTATGTGCCTTGGAACGGGAATCGCTGGAACGAGCCATCGAGGATCAGTCAAGGATTCGCGACTGGATACTGCGCCTGGTAACCCGTGAGGCAGTGAGCATTAACTATCGTGTGCGCTCCATCTTCGCAGATGCCAACTTCGAGAGCTTCTCCGTGCGGAGGAAGGTGGAAATGTCTGAGTTCGATAAGTATCGGTTCTACGACCTGGAGGACCATTTACGCCTCTCTCTGGGCTCGTTCGAGGAGGAGGAAGCGCCTGCTGCGGCCGCTGGCGGCCATGGTCCGCCTCCTGCCATCGAGGATGGTGAGCTGGGCGAGGAGGAGCACGTGGAAGTGGTTACAGGACTGCGCGAGCTCAAGCCATTTGTGGTGGAGGGACCCAGTGTCTACGAGCACATAATGGCGCCTGTCTTTCAGTTGCAGGACAAGAACCTGGTAACCTCCAACCAGCTGTTCAACTATAACTGCAAAATCCGCTACTATCTGAACGATCCGCTGAAGCAGGAGTTCAACAAACTCTTCCACGAGGCGCAGCAACTCAAGCAGGACACCATCGACAGCGTGGTGAGCACTAACTTGGTGCTCACCAAGATCTACGACAATATGAACATTATGCTGCGTCTGCTCAATATGGATCAGTTTAAGCCACCTGAACTCACGGTTCCTTCGCTGGCGCAGGATGAGGTAATCAAGCAGATCATGGAGGTGGACGACTCCGAGGTTAAGGCGGTGAACCGGCGTAAGCCCAAGACAATCGATACTGGCGGCAAGAAGGGCAGACTGCTGCTCTGGAGCAAAGAGTTCTGGTCGCGGGCTCTCATTGTGATGATGGACGGGGTGCTGGAGAAACTGTGGGAGGAGGAGATCAAGAAGGACATACCCGAGCCGGAGTTCATGCAGAAGAAGCAGCCGCACGAGTTTAATCTCGAGGAGCAGAAGATATTCCGGGCCTACGAGGAGGCAGTTCATCTATTGGAACTGGACCGCCGCAAGTACCTTCGAATCCTGCACGAGAACGAAGAGAAAACGCTGGCCCTGAAGGCCTCCCAGATCTTAAAGCTCAACCAGCGCGTAGCCGAACTGATGATCTTGAAACTGAAGTATGACTTCGCCCTCAAGCAGGGGCAACTACGCATGCTCACCCTCGAAAAGATCAACTTCGGAAGGGTTCAGCTGCGGAAACGCTTCAGCATGTTCCGCAAGGACATCGACAAGTTGAACGACTACATGACACGGTATAGCAACCTACTCGATTTCTATGACAAGGCCTTTCTCGATGTGAAAACGCGACTGGAGGCTCAACAGACCCGCGATCGTGCCGTCGAGCGCCAGTTTCGCAGTCAATTTCTGCCCTTGGTCCCACATGCCACCCACGAGATGACGAAGCTCTTCAAGAAGCGACCCAAACTTCCCGGCAAGATCTTCAACTCGGTACTCATCTGCATGGAGGCCTCGAACAAGCTGAGCGGAAAGCCCAGTCACCGTACTCCCTTTCCGCTGCCCGACGATGTCCTGGAGTTCCTGAACTATCTCGTCGAGTTCGATCAACCAAAACATTGTCCGCCGCAGGTGGATCCCAAGTCTTGGGACACCTTTGTCAAGCTGCGTCGCCAGAAGACTGAAAGTGAGTTGCGACTGAAGGGCATTGGCTACCAGCTGCTCGACAGCCAAGCGCTCCTGGGTGTCCTCAACAAGGACCTCGCGGCGCTCAAGGAGTCCAAGGTCCTGACTCAGCGTAATTCCGAAGAGAGCATCCAAACTTATGTAAGTGTTGTACCAATACTAAAAAACTTCTTTAGTGGAATAACAACATTTTAGTATTTATATACAAAAACATCACTGCATACTTTTACTGCGTCTTGAAAAAAGGCCCCTTTTAATATGTTAAAACTTAATCTTAATATTTCCCAATTATAAATAACGTTTGCGCTTGAATTGTATGTTTCCCGAGTAACCCAAATGAAATTTTTCGCTTCAGGTAGAAAAGATGACAAACATGACCATCCAGTTGACCCTCACAATGGGTCAAGTTGAGGTCTCGGTTATGGGCCAGTTCACAAAGCTCTCCAATACAGTTCTCATGCACGTGGATGACATCAACGATGTGAATCGCCAGATTCAGGTGAACCCTTAGCGCAGGGAAGTGATAATGACTTTTAAAGTATCAATCTCAACAAATGCAGGAAGCTGGAAACAAGAAGATTAAAGCCATGCAAAGAGTGGCCGTATTCAGGCGTCAGGTCATCTTCAAGGAATGGGAACACAAGCTGTACAAGGCCAACATAGCGTATCTGAAATACATGCTGGATGCCATCGAGAAATGCAAAGTCTCAATGGAGTTCCTCAATATCCTACGCAATTGGGAAAAGGTCAAGACAGAGCGACAGAAGTATATAGCCGGAGCTATCGAACGAGTGATTGAGCAAAAGATAGCAGTATTCAAGAAAAACATCGAGCGTGTGTAAGATATGTTTTAAATTTATGCAGATAATGAATCCTAATCTGTGCCCCACCGAAGCAACATTAAAATCGATGCCGTGAAGGCACAGACCTTGGAGATAAAGCGCAGCAGCCACGCCATCGACTTCAAAATCGAGCGTATCAAGGTGGACGTCACTTTCCAGAACACATTGCGAGATACGATGATGGAGGACAAGCGGGATCGTGAGCAGCGGGAGCGGTAAGTCAATCTATTCCACGCCAGCTAAACTGTATAAATTGCATAGCTTACTGCTATCAAAAGTTCATCGGAACCCGCTAAAGTTGTTTTATGACTTATGTATTTGAAACTTGATATAATAGTCCACGAAAAATAAGAGGACATGTATGTAAATAACATAAAATGAGCAGCTGTTAGCTACAGTAATGAGAACTTTTGCCACTGTCCATACTTTGTTCTAGCTTAGAAATTTCAGAAAAAATAAAATATAAATATATTAACGTCTTCGCAGAATGACCAAATCACTGTTTCTATTTCCACCGCAGAATGTCGCAGATTAAGACCCATCGGCAGCTCATGGAGAACGTCCGCCGCCACTACGCCCATGTGCTGGAGCTGCAGACGATTCTGGAGCTACTGCGTCTGCGAACCTACCCCACGTTGGGGCCACCCCTGCCCCAATGTCATCCGCCGGTGCCGGAGCACATTCTCAGTTCGGTGCCCTAGGAGAGCTCCGACCCGACTAAGTTCTAGCCACTTGGCGAAATAGCAATTAAATATTTTCATTCCGCCAAATGAAAATTTATTAGTGGTTCTGGGTATCTGGTCTGGGTATCTGGTCGGGTATCTTCAGACTCTAGCTGCCACTTAATTGGGTTTGTTTGTGTCTGGGCAAACTAACAAAAAACGAGGCATAAAGGCGTGCACTTTGAGCTCTGTTTGCTGCTTAATTCGGGGCTCCCGAAACAAACTCTCATAGACTAACTACTAGGGCCCCAAACTTTGATTGGGGAAACCCTTCATCAGCGCACTTCACACTTATTGCTTTAATGGATTACCCTTAGAGTTAAGCTCAAGCTGAAGTCAAGAAAGTTCATCTGATGTAATGTAATAATAGCTTTGAGTCACAAGAAAAAGTGGCTGTCGCTTAATATGATAATCGTAGTCGTTAATGTACTATTTGGTATATGCCAAAAGCCGGTTTCCAACAGAAACATATAATATATAATCTCTTCACTTACTCCGAGCAGGGAACCCTTATCAATTCGACTGTAAAAACCTGAGAACTGTACTTTCCTACTGAATTTGCAAGTTCATCACTAAAATTGGAGGTGATACACACTATTTTATTAGGTTTCTATTTCTACCGCAGCCTATGTAGTGATAACAGTGTTCTAATAGAACTATGGCCCCTTTAAGATGGGCTTACCAAAGTCTAGAAGAGACTCCAAATTCTAAAAGCGCTCTTTGGGTTGTCCAATGGGTATCGCTAACTTAGCCTGGCGCTGAATTTCCGGGTTGCTTCAAGTATTTTAAATATTATAATTATTAATTTAGCGCGATTACATAATTTGAAATGTAGGGCGCCTTATCAGCATTGCAAGAAAAAACCTTATCACGTGCCACGTGCTTTGCAATCAGAGCCGGTAAACTGCAAAGTTTATTATAATCTAAAATACAAATTTAAAGGCATTGTGCCTTTATACCTGTTACTCGTATTTAAAAAGGTTATACTAGATTCGGTCAGAAGTACGTAACAGGCAGAAAGAAACTTTTCCGACCATATATATGTATGTATATTCTTGAGTCTGTCCTCACATATGAATGTCGAGATCTCAGGAGCTATAAAATATGTCCCGTTTCCACTTACACTATTTGAGTAACGGGTATCTGACAGTCGGGGCACTCGACTATAGTTTTTAAATATATATATAAATTGAAAAAAATTATTTCTTATAACATTTGTACAAAAACGATAAAAAGTAGTAAAAACAAAAATTTTAAACAAGATAAACATTCCCAATTGCTGGATCAAAAGGCCTTCAGAACAGTTTAGCTGTGCAAGCCATTGGAATGATAAGCAAACGTCTAAAAATAGTAAGTTCGAAACTTATACAGTGGTAATTCCATACATGGCACCACCATATTTAAATGACAATAAACTTATTTCTTGTTGAAACTCAACAACATGTTCTATATATTCAAATGATATAAATGAAGCCATAATAATGGCATCGTGGATACGGAACCCTTTAGGGATTAGCTATTTGCGGTTGCATAAAGCTGTTATCTTCTGTGACTAAACAAATGAAGAAACTCAGCTGTTAGACGAAGCAATCTATCCCAGCATGCTACGGAAAAAAAAATACTCTTATCAGGGGTCAGCTCCGTTGCTCCAAACGCTCGACCTTCCCCTTCCTAGTGGCGATAAGCCGGGCTCAAATTCGGCCGGCTGCGGCGCAAAACGAGGTGTTGTTATGAGTAGTTTGGCAGAGCTTCAATCAGTACTCAAGTCGTCGTTCTCCAGTTCAGAGTTCCACAGCAGTTACAAAAACCAAACTAAAATGGCCAAGATCGCAATTGCCTTCTTTCTGTTCGCCCTGTTCGCCGTAAGTTGATGCCCAAAGTCCTGGATCGCAGTAGCAGGACCCTGCAGGACCTTGTCAGGATTGACTACAATGTGGTGCTTTGATTTCAGGTGGCCATGGCCGCTCGCGTCGTCCGTGAAGAGCCCAGTGCCGCCGCTGATCCGCTGGAGAACGCCAGGGCTGTGCTGAACAAAGCTATTGACGATTTGAAAGGCCTGACCCCCGAAAAGATTCAGGTAAATATGAAGCAGTTACTAAAGCTTCTCAAATTTCACTTGAGCCTAACGACATAATTGTAGTTATAAAAATGATTTCAGGAGATTTCTCGGCATTTATCAGAATATATTCGGCATTCGCCTGACCCAAAGTCGCAAAACTTAACATATTTGTAGATTTTTAGTCGTCCAGACGTATGAAAATATTTACCTTGAAATATTTACTAATTTTCAACTTTTTTATCTGCGCAGGGTTTCATTTCGGAAGGTATTGAGAACGCTAAGGACAGTTTAGACAAAATTAACGACGCGGTCCAGCAGAAACAAAGCAAATCCACCTAAGACGTTGTTGGATAGCCATATATCAGTACACCGAAGACGACTCTAATAAATGTTTTAACTTTAACTTTAGTTGTTACATTCTTAATGAAGACTAAAAATGAAATTAAAACGTTAATTGCCTTTAACACATAAACATATCTTTGGTTTTCTTTTATATTTCTTACACACATTTACAAGCCATTTTTAAAAGGCAACTTTAAAATGTTTTCTTGCTGAGAAAGTTCTGAGAAACTTTGCTTCGACAGAAATCAAAACATGATATTTACTTGGAAGGATAAAATTTTTTTTTATTATAATTAATAATATATTGCCACAGTTTTAAACGTAATATATTAATTTAGAGCATGCATCACAAAGAGTGTATCTATAAAGATATAAACGGTAAGATTTCAACTAATTGCTCTATTTTTAATAATTTTTTGTAACAATTATTAGCATATCTCACTCATTTAGTAAAACGGGATACAAGATTCTTTGAAAAGTATGTCACAGGAGCTACTTATTTGATTAGAATTACAATTAAAAATGTATTGATGTTTTCATTTTATTGTGCTATTCGCCCTGACAATTTGTACTATTATGGCAACACTTCCCGCAAGCCAATTAATGAGTGTCTGATAAACTAGGAACTCGACTCTATGGTTTTGATATTACAAATTTTGAATGCTACAAGGTGCTGCAAGGCGAAATTGATCTCGCTCCTCTGAGACGAAAATTAAAGAAATTCCAAAATATTGCCGGGATTTGAGTTTCGTGAGAACGAATGGCTTTGAAACGGTGCAAGTGTGAAATATTTGTCAGTTATTTTGCACACCTGTCTGAGCAGCAAACTCGGGGCAGAGGACGCAATGTCAGGTCTTCGAATGCCAGGCCATGAATAATGTATTGGCATTTGTACGGCATCGCATCTCGGGGAGTTCGCTCCGATCGCCCCAATCCAACTCCATCGCCGCGCACGATTGGCTAAGACCGAGGTGGATTTTTGCTCCTTGCTAGGGTTTCAGTATCGGGCTTTGGGCCAACAAAATATGGGTTGCACAAACGGAAGTTTGCAAAGGCGGATAATGCCAAATTGTTGCCTAGACACATATTGTAAAGCCGCGTGTATCTGTGTGCGCCATCAATTGACAACTCTTGTCCAATTTCTATGGCATTGTTGCGTGAAATTTATAAATGTTTTCGTTTCTATTCTCGAAGTTTGTCTTATTCAAACGCGCCGGGGCTTACTCATCCGTTCGAACTTTGATATTTTCGAGTGGAGGAGCGGAAAATAAATGGCCCAAATGTATTCGCTCGACTCTTATATGAAAACCTTTGCAGCAGGAAAATAGGAGCCATTTCAAACTTAACTCGCCATGTCACCATTCATTTAAAGCAACCTATACGTAGTACTAGGACTATTTGTATCAATTTAGCACCCACTGATCGCCTTGAAAACATTTCGACTTTAATTAAAAATGTAGAAAATATTGCGGCACCATCGCAAAGAAGTGGCGCGGCATGCGGAGTGCAACCTAGTTGGAAAACTCTCCTCCTCGGCGCTGCAGCAAACAGTTCCCAAAGCAACAATATGGTTGCGATGTCACGCAGTGCGTGTGGCAGTGTGAGTGCATTGTAATGCTAATTTAAATAACGATAAGCTCAACAACAGCACCAGCTACAACTACAACTGCAACTCCAGCTACAACAGCGACAACAATGGCAACAATAATACGAAAACAATTTGGCATTCTGTGATTTTGTCATCCTTTCACGATTGTTGTTGTTAGTTTTCCACGCTCCTCCACTGGGGAGGAGTCCCTCTACTAGGAGCTTGGCTCAGGGAGTGCATAATAATTAATATTTTTATATTTGTACGTATTATGCATATATTTTCTTAGGTTTCTTGCCTTTTTTTAAATGTGTGTCCTTGTATCCAAGTTATATTTGCTTAAACTCTTTTAAGGTATAAGTTTTCTTTTCATATGTGATATCAGGAATGCTAAATGCTGCACAATCACAATGGGCATTATTAAGTTCTTGAAAAGTAGCAAATAGAATAAATATATAGATTAACAGAAGATCGGTTGGTGATCGGTATTTAGCATAAGCTAGGGTATTAAGCCTGCCTGCAGAAAACGCATTTCCTTGCACTCGTTTTTATCGTTGGCTGTGGTGGTGTGCAGCATCTGCAGTAAGCCAGACACCACATACGAGTATGTGTACACACATCTGGCCATATTAGCGTGCGAGCGGGAAAAACAAATAATAAAGCCACTTTCGCATAAAGAAGCGAAAACAACGCGAAGGCAAAAGTTTCGCATGCGGCATGCAGTGCAGGACGAGGGGGCAAAATGCAGAGGGGCGGCATTATCCTTTCTATCACTTGTCACATTTCCGCATAATGGCGTCATTGCTGCCGCTGCCTGTTGCGAACAATGAATACATTTGTAATGTTAATGGAATGCAACGGCAACTGCGAGGAAACCGAAACGAGAACAACGCCAACCATTTTCCGTCGCCCATTGGAGCTGTTGTCGCCCATATTTGTTTGCGTTTATCAGCCAGTTTCTGTGCGGCACAAAAAACGGCAGCATGGGGGAAGGCGGCTTTTCCAGCCACGCCCACACGCACTGCGCCCAGGGCTTTGCTGCGTCGGAAAAATGTTGCTGATTCGGTGTTCAAAGTTGACGGAGGTGCCAGTGTGATAACTTGTACGTATTACAAGGAAAATGAGGCCAATGATTTACCCTTTTATTTAGGAAAACACCTTCCTAAAGTTTGGATGGAAAAACTCTGAAAAAGCTATAAAATATTGTGGCGTCAAAAAATGTAAAGAGAAGATTGTTAGATTTCTAACAATCAAGAAATCGAACTCTTATTTAAGTGAATGCCCAGGAATCGCTTGTTACCCAACGATAACATTTGAAATTAATTTAAGTAGATATATTTAGATATTGGTTGTGTTGGTACGCACCATTTTTCAGATCAGTCGAATCTTATTTGCTAGCTCCTTTTTACTTACTTTTTTACTTTGCAAGCTGGCAGCACTATCAGCACTTATTCAATATGCCTAGTGCAGTGCATCCGAGCATAATATAACGAACCATTTTTATTAGAAATATAAACAGCAAAAAGCGACTGCACACACGCACACAGATGCACTTGGGAGACGCACACACATGCATTTATAGCTGAATAGACGCACAATGTGGCAGCCACAATAAAGAAATAAAAGGCTCAGCAGCAGCAGCAACATAAGCCTCAGCGTCGTCGTTGTCGTAGCGACATCAACAAAAAGCACAAAAGCATTTGCATTGCAAATGCAACATAATGCACAGCAACAACGTTGCAGCTCACACACACACACACACACACACTCACACAGCGAGTGTGCCACGCTGACAGACACATTTGCTTGCCACTTCCGAAGGATGTTGCTCCTAGCATGTTGCCCAGCAGCAACATCGAAGTATTTGCCATGACAAGTATTTAAGTTCCTCTGCAGCTCCTTGGCAGGACTTTGTATGAATGCATACATAACTTTTTGCATGCATTTCAATGCATTCAAAATGAGCGTATAAAAATATGTATTTTAAGGTGCAGGTACAACTAAGCTGGAATAATATTGAGGGCCAGCAAAGGGTTTTCCGATTACCAGCATGCATATACCCAGTATAAATATCTTTGGCATAATCTGCAGCTCTTGCCGTGCAAATAAATGAGTGCGAAATGGGGTATTGGCTGATTTTCTGAACTTGAGCAGGAATAACTAGTAAACATTACTTGCAGTACAAATTTGGTCAATAACAATGCATAGGTTAAGTAATGGAAGTCACAGCTTCACTAGCTAAACTAAACTGATTCTGAATAGATTTGAGATATAAATTGACTTGAAATTTATAGATCTAATACTGCAAAGCTGCAGAAATGATGACTAGAGTGCAGTATTGCACTCAAAACACAAAACTCCTTTAGGATTTCCCAAAAGCTCTTGGAGCCACTCAGCGCCAGCTTCGGGCCATTGATTGCCTTTTGTGAAGGAGCAAACCACAACCTTTTGTCTCATCAAGTGAGTTAGTTGAGTTGGAGTCGCGGCTTACGGAGTGTCCTTTTGCATATTCATGTGTTCCGACAACGAAAATTGACGGCAACAGCTGCCTTGGCGGTAAGACTGCGGAATGCGGAATGCAGATGGCAGATGGCAGACACCAGTGGTGGCCAGGAAGTCCTCGATGACATCCTTGCGAGCACTCGACTGTGGCCGCGTTGATTTGCAGGCAGCCCCACAGCAATCCCGACGGTTCGTTTGCTTTGGCTGCCGTTTTGCATGAATATGCATGAGCAGTTGAGCAGTTACAAGCCATCAAAACATGCAACACACGCGCTGCGAAAAAACGCGGAAAAGCTACTGGAGATATCGTTTTCCAGCTAGAAACATAATCTATACGAAATGCTGGCAGCAATTCGCAAAAACCTCTTCAGCACTTCGGAATTGAAGCCAAGCATTTTTAAAAGTACGCAGTATTTCTTAAGGCTTTAGATTTAATAAATAAATAACTAGCAGTTTAATTTACTATCTTTTAACATTTAGAAATCTTTAAAGATACAATGTTAAGCTACCATAGATAGACGTCCAAAGCTTAGAAGTATAGATACCATTTTTAAGTTCATTACTTTATAAACTTACATTGTTAAGTATTATAAAATATTTATTACATTTTAAAGCACATTTTGAGAGCATATTAGAGTTCTCTAGTCAAAAAGGCGAAGGCTTTTCACAGTATTCACTGTATTCACTGTTCACGAATTGCGGCATTATGGCGGGCATAGCTTTAAAACTAAAAAGATGCGCCCGTGTTGCCTTCAGCTCGCCATGTGAAATTTAACCGCGTGACTAACGAGTATATCGTTAGAGCCAGAGCCCGGCAAGCGGCTTGGCCAATGCCACCAGCAGCACAACGTGGCGTATACTTGATGTCCGCCTCTGTTGTTTGACGTGTTGAGTTTAATTGGAGCACTCCGCGACGATGGCGATGGCGATGGCGATGACGATGACGACGACGATGATGATGATGATGACGTCGCTGGGTTCGGTTTGGCTGGTGGAAGCGCTGTCGCTTTTGATGTTGCAACCTGCCCCTGCCACGCCCACG